GAAATCCAGGGAAAACTTCTATACCTCAAACTATATAAAGCATCATGTGTTTGCTATATTGCAATATAAAAAATATCTACTCATGCAGTTAAGTGTGGCAAGCACATTTCTCTCCCTCTCAGGATTTTCCACAGAGGTGCACAGAGAGAAATGAAAGAGAAAACAATTTCTATTTCTGCTCCTTGTTTTTCCCTATGTGGAATGTGTTTGGAGAATTGTTTACCTGGGGTGATGGCTTGATTGGATTCTGGTGAGGATTGTTTGAGCCTGATGGCCAATCCAACCCACCTGGGGCTGGACTCTTGAGAGAGGGTCACTAGGAGGGTTAGAGTCAGAGAAAGTAGTACGTAGTTTTAGTATCCTCCTTTTATATAGTATATTAATGTATTTTAGCACAGTTATAATAAAGAAATAATTCAGCCTTCTGAATTGAGTCAGACGTCATCATTTCTTCCCATTGAGTTCACCTGCATTTACTATAATTAAGTGCTTCTCTAAGCTCTTCAAAAGCAAAAGTTGGCATGTGTAAACTGAGACATCTGGGGGACATGATCTCTTGCCTAGGGTTCACCATGCATATTGGAGTCAGAACTTTGGCCTGCATCCAGATTTGTCTCATCACCCAATTCAGTGAACTTCCCACAAAGTTACATTGTTCACTGTCCATGACAAATATTCCATCAATCCTTGGAAATTCATCAATGTGCCTGTCCAATAAAATGCATGTTCCACAACACTAGGTGTTGTACACAGAGCAGCTACCTTTGACTTGCACTTTGCTGCAGCTGGGAGACACTTTCAGCTCCACATGAACCCCTGGTACCATTGCTTAAATGGAATAGACTGCTCTGTGAACACCAGCAAGATCAGGCTCCTGTAGCTCTCTAATTAGTGTTAATTTCTGCATACTAATTGGGTGAATGCCAGTAAAGAATCAGTAGGCCTACTCTGCTAGAGAGTCAGTAAAATACTTCAGAGGAAAACTGGATCTGTGCCTTTTTGAAATCAGTTTAAATTTTTTGCTAGGCTTTTCATTTTGCTCAGCAATGAATAGCAAAGTGGTAAATGATATCTTAATACCAACTCACAGAAATCTTCATGCTCTGAAATATTTTCTATTCCCACTGCAGTTGAGGAGCCCTTGACAGGGTCTAGGCCCTGGTGGTCAGACATACAGACGTACATCAGTCACATCTCAGCTGCTGTCCAAGCACAGCCTGCTGGAGCCACTGATTCATCCCAGTTGGATGGCTCATAACAAGTAACTAGAGAAAATTGCTGTGTGGCTTTTAAGGATACTGATTATCTAAAATATAAATTAAACTAAACCTGAGAGACTGGGGAAATATGACAGAACATTAAACTAAACTCAGATTAGCAGAGTAAAACTGGGCTGGGAGAGAAGCAGATCAAGAGCAGCTCTGCAGAAAAGGGCTTGGGGTGCTGGTGGTTGAGAGGCAGGACATGACCCAACCGTGGGCACTCACAGCCCTGAGAGCCCCAAAAGTGTCCTGGGCTGCATCAAAACAGCAGGGAAGGGAGGGGATTCTGCCCCTCCACTCTCATGAGACCCCCACCTGCAGTGCAGTATCCAGCCCTGGGGTCACAACATAGGAAGGACATGGAGCTGCTAGAGCAAGTCCAGAGGAGGCCATGAAGGGGACCAGGGGTTTCCTAATTGCAGCCTTCACTACCTGCAGGAAAGATGGACAGAGACTATTTACAAGAACATGTAGTGACAGGTGGAATGGTTTAAAACCCTCAGAGGGCCGGCTTAGATTAGATATTGGGAGGAAATTATTCCCTGTGAGGGTGGTGAGGACTTTGCACAGGTTTCCCTGAGAAGTTGTGGCTGCTCCATCCCTGGAAGTGTTCAAGGACAGGATGAGGCTTGGACCAACCTGGTCTAATGGAAGGTGTCCCTGTACATAGCACAGGGATTGGATGATTTCTGAGGTCCCGACCAACCCAAGCCATTCTCTGATTCTATTTCACACTCATTCCATACTGGTTAGATTTCAACTTTAATCTGATCTGTGTGCACTAGGATGGAAAAAAGGATCTCACAGAGATGTACACATCAGCAGATACCATAAACATTCAACACTTTCAGGTGTTCTTTTCCAAAGGATGAAGCTGACACACACTTGATGAATGCCCCTGCTTTTCCTGGGGAAAGCAGCTGAGAAAGTGGTGATTTTATTAATCTCTCATTGTCAGCGGTATGGCAGAGATAGAACCAAGGTGCCTGCCCATTCCTTTCCCCATTCCTCTCTGCCTCTGTGCCACTGCTTATGCTCCAGGAAGCAAATTCAGAAGAATTCCTCGTTCCATTACATGGATTCAGAGTAACAGAAGTTCCCTATGAAAGGTAACAGCTGTTTTTTCATTCCTCCTTCACAAGAATGGCTTTCAGAGAGCCCCAATAAACAATGTGCTTCATTCCCAATCATGTTGAAGCTCACACTGCACAAACATCAGTTGTATTGATGGGAACTGACATAACCATTCAAGTCAAACTACAACAGCAAATCTTTCAGTGCTGCTGGGTTCAGCAATTGGTAAGCATAAATCTAGAGCTTTTGGTGCAAATCTCTTTTAGTCATCTATTCCATAAGGGCATTCTCAAATTTATGGAGACATGCAAAGTACTTACTGGGAAAAAAAGGAAGTGAAAGCATGACTTCACCATTTCATAAACATTCATAAATATTTCTCCCTTTTTAATTTTTTACTTTTTATGTTTTGTGAGCTAAGATGAAAAACTCCTGACTACATCTCTATTGATTGCTTTCTTGATTTGATTGTTTTATCAAACTTTGAAATTGAAAGTAAACTGAATATGCTTATCTTGTTGATCCACATCAGAGAAAATCTTATGTGATAGCAAGCTTACCAACCCTATAGATATTGTCTATATCTACCTGCAGGCTTAACAGAAATAGTCTGAAGTTACAAAGACAACCAGTCATGGTAGCACTGGACAATTAGTCCACAGTGAATGCTTAATTCAATACATCTTTTAAAGTTTATATTTCCTGTTTCTGTTTGTGTCCAGGCAACTTTTTTCATCCAACTATGTAGCATTTGTCCCGTCTGTGAGTAATAATTTCCATGGCTGGCAGCATTTCTGTCAGAATGCCTTTGTGAAGGTTGGCACCCAAAATGGGGTCACTTGCATTCCCCTTTACAAGAAACCTCTTTTGACTCAGCTTTACCTGCCACACACAGTTTGTTTGAAGTAACTCTTGGCTAAAGGATTATTCCCAATTTCATACACTTCTGATCCTGTAAGCAATGCATCTTCTATGCACTTATCTTCTCTGGTTTTGATCATAAAAGATCAAAGCTAAAGAATAAAAAGAGAAAAAAAGCTTTGGCTGATCATATGCAAAATCACGTGAAGAACCAAGTGGTAAAATGATCATGTTTAGTTGCATTAATCCTGGTGCAAAGTCAAAGTAGGAAGCTGCTACACAAGAAACAAATAAAAGTATTTTCATTCTTCGCTCACCTCTTTTTCACCCACTGTATATCCACGAAAGCCATTAGAATGTTCAAAGTACTGAATAAACTTCACTTTGGCTGTGACTTGGCTCAAGTGTGGGAGTCCAGAGCATCCCTCTGGCTGCCCTGGAAGGCCTGGGACCCTGGCAGGGGTCAGGAAGCCCCCTGGACAGAGCCCCCAGAGACACTGTCTGTGATCTCTGTCCATGGAAAAGAGTTTTCAATCTTACAGGATCAATTACAAGCTCTGAGTATTTGATATAAGTAATGATTAAGTGTGGCACAGGTACAAAAGTAAAATTTTAGGATTCTAGATTAGGGGTTCAAAGGGGACAAGATGGAGGAAATTGGGTTTGTCTTGTCCTTTTTCTCCTTCTTCATGCCCTCCACGTTTCACTGTGGTGTTGGCATTTTTCTGTTGGTTCAGGCTGGGGACACACTGTTCAACGTAGGTGACAGATATTGGCACGTTATTGTAAATCCAGCACAGGTAGTTTCTGGTATTTAATGTTTGTAACATCCCACTGAGGGCAGAGCCCCACACGCTGCCCTGCAGGACAGAGCTGCGGCAGGGCAGCAGAACATGTTAGAGATAAACAGAATAAACAACCTTGAAACCAGCACAGACGAATTATGGCTTCTGCTTTGGCAGCGGGGCTGAAAGACAGAGACTTTCTACAATCTCGGAATCATCAGTACCTCAGATTCCAACACTCAAGGAGGCAAGGCTCTGAGCCTGGGTACTTGAGGTACATTCTGCACATCAGATTCAGAAGTTCCCTTCTTTTTCACCATAGGGAGTGTCCCAGAGCAACCTTTTATCTTGGTACCTTCACAGGCTACATGTGATCTTGCAATGTCACAGTGCCGCTTAAATTCTGAGATTTCGCAGCACTTTCAATTTGTCAAAGACATGAAGATATCTGCTCTGCTCAGATTCTGCTCACTGCAAACAGCAATAGCTCTTTCAACAGGGATCCTCCAAAAAAGTGAAAAACACCAAACCAAACACACAAACACATATATGCTGTGCAAATAATTAGAAAAGAGAAATGTAGTTTTGTCAAATAATCACTTTCTTGCTTTCAGGAATTCTGTTAAAAGGAGGTTGTTTTATTAATGTGGTTTGTGGTGAGGGAACAGAGTTCAGCAATGTGAAATGGCTGTCATGTAGCTAGAAAAGTCTCTCTGTTTCCTAAGCTATCTATTCAACACCTTTTTATGAGTTGGCCTTCATTTTGTAATAAGAATAGTAGCAATCTTAGCAATCTTTCCCTGTTCCTACAATAATAATAATAATTTAAAATTCCCTTATTCTATTATAAAATGTCATGAACTTTTCTCTTTAATTTTCAAAATTACCCCAGAGCACCAAATGGCAGTTACAACTATATTAAATCAATGAACAGATCAAAGTGGCAGATCGGGTTCGTTTTTTGGGGTTTTTTGGGGGTTTTTTTTTTGGTGTTTTTTTGGTGGGTTTTTTTTTTTTTTGTTTGTTTGTTTTCTGGTTTTTTTTAACAGGCTGAACAAGAGAGTGCACTTATGTACATGCAAGCACACACCAAGGCAGATATACATGCACAACTTATTGAAGGTTAAAGTGATGTCTCCATTTTACTTAAGAGATATTCACATGCAGCAGTATATAAAAAAGTAGAAATAACTGATTTATCCATTTTGAAATAGAACTAAGTTTTGAGGTTACAAGTCTGGAAAGCATCTACTGTACATGCAAAGAAGTTTTGTCTAAGGTTTACTGGGATGTATCTATATGAAAATTACCTTTTGTATTCAGCCCTCAGCACAGTAGTTTAGATTTCTTCAGAGGACAACTGGAGGACATCGCAGTACAAAATTATTCTATGATGTCTGCTGCTAAAAGAAATGGAAGCACTGAATTACAGTATACAGTATCAAAAAGGAATATTTTACTAGCATACATTTGTCTAATAGAATTTTGTGAATGTCAACAAGGACACAGAAAACAAAGGAATTTAACAGATGTTTTACATGCTGAGCAGTGAAGCACAGCAATGCTATATCCTTATCTGCTCGAGTGAAATACCTTTCCTACATGGTTCTTTTATTGTGCCAGCTCCTGTTTTCACATTGTCACAAACATAAGGGCTGTACCTGTACGGCTGCTGACACAACTGTGTACCCCAACAGTCCTCCTGGCAACGTGGGATTGACAGCACACAAAGGGCACTGAGCACAAGAGCTTGTGAAGTTAACCACAGCAGCCATCTCTGTACTTCTGAAATGACTTTCAACCTTTCCATACCTTCCTCCACAAACAGTGGTGACTTCATCCTGCAGTGCCTCACTTGAGGACAACCTTTCAGCAGCTTTTGCAGTGCTGACTACCTTGCTTTGAACAGACAGGCTGCTTTTAGTAGTTCAGGTAAAAATGCAATGGTAAATTTAATCATTTAGTACATTTAGTAAATTTAACTCTTCTTTCCCTTGCCTCCACCCACATATGGGATCACACTTCTGCACCCTGACCTCGCAATGCTTTCCAGTTGTATTGAATTTTCCTTCACAGATTTCCAGCAGTTCTTAATTTCTTTCCACTTCATCATGAAACCCCCAAGGTGTCAGAATCTTGGCAGTGCCGTTGGATGTATGAAATGCAAGACTTCAAGAAGACACAAAAGAGGAAATACAGAGAATATATTTATTAGTGATATTTTAAAAAATCCTCTTTCAATAATTTTGTTCTATGTAATGCAAAGATAAAAAGGGGATATTAAGATTTCAAAATTTCTGTGTTTTAATGACTCACAAATTGAGATATAACAGCCTTTTTGCAGACCTATATTATGCCCTGAGTTCTGTAGGAGTTTGACTATTAGGACATCCTGTCTAATTAGTCAGATTAGGTACATATAAGTAAATTAAACCTTGATGAAAGGGAAATATGTGTGGTAGAATATCTTAAATTATCAGAAAATTAGATGATTTCACTGGCTGACAGGAAACAGATCTTTGAGGGGTGTGTTACAGTGTTATTTTCAACAAAGTGACTAAAGATTTATTAACATAAACCAATATACAGACACATCAAAAGGTGTTTTATTCAGTGGAGGATGGTTAACCACAAGAAAAATCTGTCTGGCCAGTACACTTCAGGCAGATAACAGCAAATGCTTTCCATGCTTCAAAAAGTTCATAGTTCCATTAACCTAACACTGAGATAGTATGTGGTTCCTCTCAGCATGAACACAGTGACCTGAGATTAAGGTCCTGCATGTAAAAATCCAAGTATTTATCAGGGGAATTAAAATTTAGGCAAAGAAAAATCTGACTTGTTATCCATCCATTTTGCTATTGGGATCTCAAAAGTGGTTACCCAATCTGCTTTATTTTTTCATGAATGTCTCAGGCATGCTGAACCTTTCAATCAGAGGCTCCCATGCTCATGATACTCTAAAAAAATACCAAAGTAATTCCTGGTGCCCCAGTTTTACTGCACATAGATTACAGTTTGCAAGAGCTTCATGCATCTTCCCTGATGAAGTCAGCAGTGCAGTCCAGTTACAAATCTCTAGCCTTGCTAAGCTTTTGTTGAGACAACAGTTAGTAAAGGCTCGTCCTGTGAGATTAAGATTCTCTCGCTGTGCATTGACCCTTGTCACACAAAACCAACTGTGCCTCTGAGATGGACAGGATGGACAGCTGGATGCTGCCAGCCAGGTATGGGAAAGGTCAGCTGGCTCTGGGGGCTCACAGAAGGGACAGACACAGAGCAGGAGCAGAGATTTGTTCTACAATTTCCAGCACACACGGTGCAAAATCAACTGAGGGGAGCTGGGGACAGAATCAGCAGTGGTCTGGCATGCACAGGTGATCCTAGCTCCTGTAATCATCAGGACATGCGTTGTGTGCACAGCAATCTGACACCTTTGCTGAGAAACTCCTGCTGCAAATCTACTAATTGTAGATCTAGTGACAGACTCAAGTCAACTGAGCTAGTTGCAGTTTTATTTCTGTTGCAGGGGCTTAGACTAAGGTGTGGTAAATCCTGTTAGGCACTGAGGTGAGAGTTAAACTCCGTGAGCAACATCCAAAATCCAAGAGTTAGATACTGCTGTGTTCCAGCAAATCAAGAAAAGATTTTGACAGAAGTGATTGCATGGAGGGTAGGAGACAGGAGAGGGAAGCCTTTACTCAGTGCAGCGAGAAATGACATCTTCTCCTTGGAAACTCTTTCTTTCCTGCCCTATGGACAGAAGCACACATTTTTCTTTCAAAATATCACACAAACTGTACTTAATGTAGCCCTGTACTGAGAAGCCATGACTTTGAATTCTTTTAGCAGACAAGGAAAACCAATTCAGATCTCCCATTTTCTGCACAAATCCTCTGGCCACTACATTAGTATATGGAGGGAGGGTAGGAAATCTTCCTTAGAGTGCAAATTAAAGAATGAGCAGCTGGAACTTGTCTATGATCCTTTACTAACTACACCCTGAGAGTTTCCACCAGGAAATCTTCACAGGGATTTAAAAAGGGCACTGACTGGATTTGCATCTAATTGCCCCAAGAAATGTGAGGTAATTCTTGATGTGACTATAGATGTGTGAAGGACCTAACGGGAAGATATCTGCAGGGTCAGTTATGTCACAGAGTGCAGGATCACATCTCTGAAATTAAGGAGATTGACCCTGCCACATCTCATGGATCTGGCTTGGACAAGTGCCTGTGTTATGGAATAGGATATGTGCTCCCATACTGGCCAAAGTACTGCAGTGGAACTTTAACAGACAAACAGTATTATTCAGAAAATTGTGACTTTTGATAATAATGTGACTTTTGATAATAATGATAAAAATTATATTCAAAATGTATGTAATGAATCTCATTGGGTTCAATGTTACTATTAAGATAATTAACATATAATTTATCAAGACTGATTATAAACTTAACTACTTTCCACAATCCATATCAGTGTTTCAGTTGCTCATAAGACACAGTCAGGTAGGCTAATTTGACATCACCTTTGCTGTTTTGTTTCACCCACAGTAATTAACCTCTCAACATCTGTAGCTGTTTCCTCCTGTGTGGTTAATGCACATCTAAAGTGTCCAACATGCATTATTTCCCCGAAGTGTCATATTATTTCATCTTGGCCTCCAGCCAACCTTTTAATACCTACCCTTACACTTCATTCAGCTCTTCCAGTTGCTGCTGATGATGCTGAAAGAGAGAAAAGGTAGTAAGCAGCTCCACATGGGAGGAAAAAAAAAAAAAACAAAAACCTGCCTAGTCCCTGTATGGATATTTGCAAATGTGTTAAAAATTGTCCAGAGAAAATCAGGCCCAGCATAACCTCTAAATACTTTGACCCTTGATGATCTTTAGGAATCACTATTAAATTATTTCAGTTCTTATGTTCAACACTATAAAAAAATATAGTATATTCATCACATAAATACTTTATTTCTCAAAAAAGGGTCTAATCCAAAACCCATTTCAAAGCTAAGGGAAGTATTTTTAATTATTTCACCATTCTTTGGATCAAGTTCACTTACTTTCAGGAGGATTTTGAAACTGAAATGGATTATATCTTTTTGCCCGGGGTTTAGGTTACATGAGGATGAAGCATGGCATGATACTAGAACAGTCTAGGAGTGAAATATGAAGTGTTAGCTGGATTAGTTGATGAGCTCTTTATTGCTTCTTTTTTATGTGAAGGAAAAAAAATATCTCTGTGAAATTATATCCAGTTAGATTCTACAAATGATAATGATGACAAAAGTTTTCAGTGATCTGGGATGCTTTAATCATCTCCTGATTAGTCAGGGAATATTTATGTTAAATAAAATAATCTAGCAATAAAAGAACAGCATTTCATTCCCCTCAGAATCCCTACTTACCAGCTCTCGTCCTTACATCAGCACTGCTTCCATTTGCAAAGTCAGGGTAGAGAGACCAGGTCTGCTGATTCCGCTGAAAGACTTTCCTGTTCCAAAGTTTGAGAAGAGGATTCATGGAATTACTACTGAAGCTATTAGAATTTAAACATTTGAACTGAGATTTAACATTCTGCTCAGAGGTTTCACTGGACAGAATCTCTCACATCCCCAGTGCATCACAACATCCCCCTCGTCTCTGGGGGATGGAATTTGACAGGCAGCTCTGGGGGGTCTTTCCTACACCAGCCTATCCTGGTGCACAGTGACACAGAAGGGGAAGAAAACAGCCAGAGAACAGGATCTAAATCATTCTGCATTCCTGTCTAAGAACCAGTGTAGATGAATAGCAGCAAGGATGCACACAAGAGCTGATCTTGTAAACCCAATGTGCAAAAGTGGCACACCTTCCTTATGGACCCTACACCATTTTCAAAATGATGCCTGCTCTCTTCACCAGTGAAAACAGTAATTCTGTGTGGTAGGCACATTCTTCTCTCTCTCAGGATTTTTTCATAGAGCACAGAGGAAAGAAAGAGAAAACAATTTCTATTTCTGCTCCTTGTTTTTCCTATGTGGAATGTGTTTGGAGAATTGTTTACCTGGAGTGAGTGCTTGATTGGATTCTGGTGAGGATTGTTTGAGCCTGATGGCCAATCCAACCCACCTGGGGCTGGACTCTTGAGAGAGGGTCACAAGTTGTGAATGAGTTAGATATGGTAGTTAGAAAAAGTAGGTGTGTAGTTTTAGTGTCTATTAATATTTAATATATTATTAGTATATTTATTTGTTATAGTATAGTTATAATAAAGAAATCATTCAGCCTACTGAACTGGAGTCAGCCATCATAATTTCTTCCCACCAGGTTCACCTGCATTTACAATAACTCTGTAAAGAAACTCAGGCACAAACTCTATAGACTTCCAGTGTCAGCCCCACTGGCACTGGGTGCAAAGTTTGCATAAATGTAATTAGCACAGGTCCATGGCAGATGAGATAGCCACTATGAAATATACCTTGAGATGGGATTGGCACTCTCTTGTCTCAGTGAACAAGAGGCAAGTCCTACCAATAAAGTACAAGTTTTAGGCATGAAGTGTATAAACTCTCAGAAGCTGCTCCCTTTTAAGAAATTGGAAGTCTAGAGAAAAACAAATGGGTTTTGACTGAAGATCTGCAAGAGAGGGAATGCCATCAGTTGGGCAACTTTTCCTTCCATTCTGCACAAATTTGTCAATGGATTCACTTCCAGGGGCAGTGAACATGGTTAATATTCATCAAAGCCTACACAGAGCTATAGATTTTAAGGAAATCATAAACTCAAGGCCACAGGCGACTACTGTTGTTAGTATTTGACTCCTCACTTAATGGACCATTTAATAGCACCTAGCCATGCCTGCACTGAAGAAAATTCTCTGCAATATGAAGCTGGAGACCTTAAAAGCTAAACCCAAGCCTCTCACGCTGAGATTTTTACACGGCCAAACATGATCATTCCTCATTTTTCAGCATTTTCCATGCAAGAATAGATTAAATTTGAAAGGGAAGTCTGAAAACCCACCCCTAGAGCAACAATTAAGAACAATCTTATGTTCTATTACATGGTAAAAGACATAGATATCAAAATTTCATTCCACAGCAAAATATAGTGGGGGGTTGTTGCAAATAAGGATTCTCAGAATCAATTTTAGATGAATCTAGGCCATTTAAGGTTTAGTAATAGACTTATTTTGCATTATTTGTAATTGCTATGAAAAAGCTGCCCCAGGTTACTTTCTCTCTTCATTCTTATTTCTCTTCCTTCCTCAATGAGAATTTGAGGTAGTTTTAAGGCAAAAAGAGGAGCTGTCATCCTGTTATTCCCCCACAAGAACACATCTATATAGACTTCAGTTTGTCACTAATCATTAATCTGAGTAGATGAAGATGAGATTGCTTTGACAGAAAGCATTGAATGGGGCATTTGTTGGGGGTGGTAGTGTGTATATATACACATAAATATATATATAGGTATAAGTACACACATATATAGAGAGGCATGGTCAAAGACTATTTTAGATACAAAACTATTCATCCTCTGACAAGGAATAAATTTGAGTATGAACTTTCATTTTCATCTGACCTTTCAAAATACATGATTAAACTCTATCTCTAGCAGTGCAATTGATTTCCCCCAAAGGGCCATTTATCAGAGAATAAACTGGGTTTATACCTTGAAGTGTATATTTTGTGGCTTTTACATATCAATTGGTGTTTCAAAAGAAGCTCTCCATTTTGAAAGCTCTTCTGAGAATACCAGAAAAAAAATTAAAAACAACTCAGGCAGAGCCCCTGACTTTTTATCAATGTATCACTCCAGTAAATCTTGTCAATTAAAAGACTAACTTTTGAGAAGAGCTGTACTGAAATAACAAAACAGAACTAGATGTGAGTAGCAAGTTGTTTCAGCAAAAGGGGCCTAAGAAAAACTTGCTTAAACCAACATACAAGGACATGCCAATTCATGTAATGTTTGGGTATTAAAAACAAAGGTACAAAACCTCTTCTCCCTCTGTCAGGGATGGTGGAACACACAAACAAGGAATTCATTCCCCACTTCCCATGGCAGGCAGTGCTCAGCCATCCCCAGGACAGCAGGGCTGCAGCACCTGTAACAGTGACTTGGGAAGACAAACACCATCACTCCAAACATCCCCCTTCCTCATTTTCCCCAGGGAGTAAAGGGATTCAGAATATCCAAATAATAAATAAATATTCTGAATAGAAATATAATTTCTATTAATATATATTAATAAATATTCTGGAAGGAAGTAAATAAATTTTCTGAATATTTATTTAATCTTTCTCCCCAGATTTAAATGCTGAGTGTGATGCCATACGATCTGGGATATGCCCTGGGTCAGCTGGGGTCAGCTGTCCTGGCTGTGTCCCCTCCCAGCTCCTTGTGGAGCCTCTTGCTGGTGGGTGAGGATCAGGAAAAGCCTTGGCTCTGGGTGAGAACTGCTCAGAAGTCACAAAGATCTCTGTATTAGCAACTGTTTTCAACAAAAATCCAAACCACAGACCCATATTAACTACTGTGAAGAAAATTAACTGTATCCCAGTCAAAATCAACACATACCATAAAGAGCAAGTGTTGGATTTTAATTAATATCTGGAGGTTACAATGCTCAACAACCTGGACATGCAGACACCCACATTCATTCTTAGCCCAGTGTGAGTAACACCCCAAAACTGCTATGAGAATCCTTGTGTCTGGAGTTAGAGACATCTCATTTAGGAACAGGCAAAAATGTCCAGAGATTCCAATCTTGAGCCATAATTTCTTAACTCTGAGTGTTTTAATCCATACATTTTGACACTGTTTTTAAACAGAGCATTTACAGTAGAAAGATTTAAAACATTGCTGTAAGTGGTTCAATGCTAAATGTACAGAATCAGACACAGGATTTACTTGTTTTACAAACGAGTTTTAGTACTCCAGGTGAATTAAAAATAATTTAATTACTGCACCTACAAAGAAATTTAAGTTAACCAGAAAGTAATTACCTGTGTGGTGTAGCAGAGGTAAAGTGATATCTAGATTTAACATTAATTTTAATTGAATTATACATCTGCTGTGGGAGAAAAATAACTTGCTTAAACTCAAATTATGTTCTCCCAAATGTGATTATACATAACACATTTGCTATTCTCAGACAATCATAAAGTAAATATTATTTCATCAGAAGGTAGAGTCATTAGGAATATTTACTCTAATGAATTACAAGAACAAACAGATAAACAAGAGATTAAGGAATAAATATTAACCCTCTACTGAGCTTTACTTGAGTTCAAGACTAAAAAGAGGACTTGGGAATTAAGCCAACACAGCATTTGGGCACATCCTTAGCCCTGAATTTTGTCAGTCAGGCATTATACAAACTGCAGATTCTCCTGGAGATAAGTTATATGAAGGTGTCAGCTTGATAAGCAGTGTAAGAAGCTCTCAGGGCAATAATAACTACACTTTTGGTATGTGATCCTCTGGTTTGGAAGGTGTTGCTGAAGTCCATAGACTTGTGTCATGTCAGGACTCCAGATCAGCACTGGTGGCTGCTGCCCGTCAGGAGCTGCTCAGAGCTCCTGCCACCCTCGCAGGTTGAGTGCCATGCATACAGAAAACCAAAAGCAGGGTGCAGAAGGAAAGATACAAAACAGATGGATTGGAGGGGATGTGAAGCATTCAGTTGTTGAGTAAAAGTCCAGTTTCTCCAGGAGCTCCTACAGCGATGTCAGCTTTGGTACTCTCACTGCCAGAAGGGACAGGCAGGTTGCTGGAGCACAAGTGACTTGCTCAGGGCTGTCCTGCAGACTTGGGACAAGCACTGGGGCAGGGCCTGTGTAACTGCAATAAATTATACTGAATCTCTGACAAGCATATTAAAGGGGGAAGGTCGAAATCTGAGGAGAAAATCCCAAAATACTCCACTTACAGAACAGCATTAGTTTGAGGTAGATTAGTTTTTAAACCACATCCCAACTGAGATGAAAAACACACTTTAAAACTTGCCTTGCTTTCCAAATGAATGATGGGCATAATTTGCTGTTCAAATGCACACGGGAAGGGATTACTTTATTGGGTACACTGCCTGCCACCCTCTGCATTTCACTGGCAGGAGCCCTGAGGCACCGAGCAGAGCTGGGACAGCTCTGATTTAGCAGCCACGAACAGGCAGCTGCAGCAGAGCCCATGCTCAAGCACAAATGCTTGCTAAGCTAATCGAGGTTAACTTCTTCTAACTCAATATGCAAAACAGAGCTCTATCTTGCCTGGCTTCAGCCAGGGGATATCATGACAACAGCCCAATAGATTAGGAAAGTTGGCACTGAAACCAAGCAACAGAACTGAATTGGGTGGAAGATGGGATGACAAAATTATTTGATCCCTAGAGATGTACAAATAATTTTGAAAGAATTTTTTAAAATTATTGATTTAAAGAGAATGGGTTTAAGGCCACCCTTGTTATAATAACATCCAACCTGAACTCTGTTCCTTGGTCTGGCACAG